ACGGCCTGTCACCACACGGAGGTAATGACAAGTGAGCTATGCGATGTACCCGCGTGCTATCAGAGCATATTGGGGGATTTGGGGGAATGCACAAGCATCATTCAGAGCCTGATTAAAGGACCTAGTGTCAAGATGAGAGGTTGCCTGTTGAGAGCTAAAGCCCTGCCCTTTCAGCCGACCCTATATAGTCTTAGCCTCCATGAACCCTACCCCATGCAACACCTCCTGTCTTCGCTTACCTCGAGCCGGGATTGGTCCATGAATCTGCAGCAGTTGCTGCCTCCCCATTGACACATCAAAGCAAAGGAGCTACCAACCCCTGCGCTTAACTGGCATCCTACTCCTGTGGAAGGTTTGTTCAGAAGCACATTATTTTGTGTTCATAGTGGGCCTTCCCCTAAAGAGGCAATGTGGATCTCATCCATGCTCTTCACCTGACAGCCGACACATATCACCCCCATTAAATTCCTGCAATGCTGTGACGTGCAAAGTCTTCAACCAGCTGATTGTATTTGCCAGAATTAGTGTGAGAATTTTCTTTAACTTACATCAGTTATGTAGTATACTGATGTATAAATATTCATATTATAATGCCAGAAGAACAAATGCACCACGTCAGTATTAGACCATAGCAAGATTGTAATAAATACACCCCAGGACCCTGGACCTTTAATTTTAATCTGGTAGTTCATAAAACAAGAGCACAGCAAATGCTCAAAGAATGAATTGTTTAATTGACGCTGACAATACATGACCTCCCTCTCATTTCAAGACACCTAAGATTAATAGAAATCAAAAAGTGCAGTTTGCTAAACCTTAACCATTTTGTTTTTCAGCCTCCACTATATCTCGGGCAAGTGGGTGCCGTTTTTATGTTGGAGTGTTTGCCAATCACTAACCTGAGATATTGCGTGCAACAAATTCCCTGACTCCCTTGCCAGAGTAGTTTTGCAGAGACAGATCCAACATCTTCTGGTGCTTTTTACCCCAGTTAAAACCGTTAACAGCACAAACCTGAACACTTTAACCTCATGAGATAACAAGAGCTGGATGAACACAGGAGGCCAAGCAGCATCAGAGGAACGGGAAGGCTGACGTTTCGGGCCCAGACCCTTCTTCAGAAATGGGGGAGGGGAAGGGGTTTCTGAAATAAATAGGGAGAGAAGGGGCGGCGGATAGAAGATGGATAGGGGAGAAGATAGGTGGAGAGGAGACAGACAGGTCAAAGAGGTGGGGAAGGAGCCAGTAAAGGTGAGTGCAGGTGGGGAGTTAGGGAGGGGATAGGTCAGTCCAGGGAGGACGGACAGGTCAAGGGGGCAGGATGAGGCTAGTAGGTAAGAGATGGGGGTGGGGCTTGAGGTGGGAGGAGGGGATAGGTGGGAGGAAGGACAGGTTAGGGAGGCGGGGACGAGCTGGGCTGGTTTTGGGATGCGGTAGGGGGAGGGGAGATTTTGAAGCTTGTGAAATCCACATTGATACCATTGGGCTGCAGGGTTCCCAAGCGGAATATGAGGTGCTGTTCCTGCAACCTTCAGGTGGCATCGTTGTGGAACTGCAGGAGACCCAGGATGGACATGTCGTCTGAGGAATGGGAGGGGGAGTTGAAATGGTTCGTGACTGGGAGGTGCAGTTGTTTAGTGCGAACCGAGCGTAGGTGTTCTGCAAAGCGGTCCCCAACCCTCCACTTGGTTTCCCCGATGTAGAGGAGGCCACAATGGGAACAGTGGATGCAGTATACCACATTGGCAGATGTGCAGGTGAACATCTGCTTGATGTGGAAAGTTTTCTTGGGGCCTGGGATCGGGGGGAAGGAGGACGTATGGGGGCAGGTGTAGCACTTCCTGCGGTTGCAGGGAAAAATGCCGGGTGTGGTGGGGCTGGAGGGGAGTGTGGAGCGGACAAGGGAGTCACAGAGAGAGTGGTCCCTCCGGAAGGCAGATAAGTGACATCACTCCGCCCACCGCCAACACCAACGTCGCTCCGCCCACCACCTCCACAGGAGACTGTAGCACCCAGCCCTGCCGAGTCTTCACCATCCCCCCATACCTTTGTCCCCCTCCACCCACACATCAACGAATACCGCTCACACTTGGACGTTGAAAAGATTTTCCGCCGCCTCCGCCTCCGCGCTTACTTCTTTAACTGTGAGCCTGACCCTGCCCCTACTGACCCCTTCTCCCGCCTCGAACACACCCCATCCTCCTGGACACCATTCCAAGGCCTCCTGCCCTCCCTCGACCTCTTCATCTCCAACTGCCGTCGCGACATCGATCGCCTCAACCTCTCCACCCCTCTCACCCACTCCAACCTCTCCCCTGCAGAATGTGCAGCCCTCCACTCCCTCCGCTCCAATCCCAACTTCACCATAAAACCCGCGGACAAGGGAGGCGCAGTTGTAGTATGGCGCACTGACCTCTACATCGCCGAGGCCAGGCGCCAACTCTCCGACACCTCCTCCTACCGCCCCCTTGATCATGACCCCACCCCTGAGCACCAAACCATCATCTCCCAAACCATCCACAACCTCATCATCTCAGGTGACCTCCCACCCACAGCCTCCAACCTCATTGTTCCCCAACCCCACACCGCCCGCTTCTATCTCCTTCCCAAAATCCACAAACCTGACTGCCCTGGTCAGCCCATTGTCCCCGCCTGCTCCTGCCCCACTGAACTTATCTCCACCTATCTCGACTCCATTTTCTCCCTCTTGGTCCAGCAACTCCCTACCTACGTCCATGATACCACCACGCCCTCCACCTCCTCCAAAACTTCCAATTCCCTGGTTCCCAACACCTCATCTTTACCATGGACGTCCAGTCCCTATACACCTGCATTCCCCATGCAGATGGCCTAAAGGCCCTCCGCTTCTTCCTGTCCCACAGGCCAGACCAGTCCGCCTCCACTGAAACCCTCATCCGCTTAGCCGAACTCGTCCTCACCCTCAACAACTTCTCTTTCAATTCCTCCCACTTCCTACAGACAAAGGGGGTAGCCATGGGTACCTGCATAGGCCCAAGCTATGCCTGCCTCTTTGTAGGTTACGTGGAACAATCCCTCTTCCGTAGCTACACTGGCCCTAAACCCCACCTCTTCCTCCGTTACATTGATGACTGTATCGGCGCTGCCTCGTGCTCCCATGAGGAGCTCGAACAGTTCATCCACTTCACCAACACATTCCACCTCAACCTTAAGTTCACCTGGACCATCTCTGATACCTCTCTCTCCTTCCTGGACCTCTCTGTTTCCAACTCTGGCAACCACCTGGAAACTGATATCCATTTCAAGCCCACCGACTCCCACGGCTACCTAGAATACACGTCCTCCCACCCACCTTCCTGTAAAAATGCCATCCCCTATTCCCAATTCCTTCGCCTCTGCTCCCAGGATAAGGCATTCCACTCCCGAACATCTCAGATGTCCTCGTTTTTCAAGGACCGCATCTTCCCCCCCTCAGTGGTCGAGAATGCCCTCGACCATGTCTCCCACATTTCCCGCAACTCATCCCTCACATCCCCTCCCCGCAATAGCAACCAAAACAGAATCCCCCTCGTTCTCACGTACCACCCCACCAACCTCTGGATCCAACGCATCATCCTCCGACACTTCCGCCATCTGCAATCTGACCCCACCACCAAAGACATTTTTCCCTCCCCACCCTTATCTGCTTTCCGGAGGGACCATTCTCTCCGTGACTCCCTTGTCCGCTCCACACTCCCCTCCAGCCCCACCACACCCGGCACTTTTCCCTGCAACCGCAGGAAGTGCTACACCTGCCCCTACACCTCCCCCCTCACCCCCAACCCAGGCCCCAAGAAGACTTTCCACATCAAGCAGATACTGTATCCGCTGTTCCCTTTGTGGCCTCCTCGAAATCGGGGAAACCAAGCGGAGGCTTGGGGACCGCTTTGCGGAACACCTACGCTCGGTTCGCACTAAACAACTGCACCTCCCAGTCGCGAACCATTTCAACTCCCCCTTCCATTCCTCAGACGACACGTTCATCCTGGGCCTCCTGCAGTGCCACAACGATGCCACCCGAAGGTTTCAGGAACAGCACCCCATATTCCGCTTGGGAACCCTGCAGCCCAATGGTATCAATGTGGACTTCACAAGCTTCAACATCTCCCCTCCCCCTACCGCATCCCAAAACCAGCCCAGCTTGTCCCCGCCTCCCTAACCTGTCCTTCCTCCCACCTATCCCCTCCTCCCACCTCAAGCCCCACCCCTATCTCCTACCTACCAGCCTCATCCTGCCCCCTTGACCTGTCCATCCTCCCTGGACTGACGTATCCCCTCCCTAACTCCCCACCTACACTCACCTTTACTGGCTCCATCCCCGCCTCTTTGACCTGTCTGTCTCCTCTCCACCTATCTTCTCCTCTATCCATCTTCTATCCGCCTCCCCCTCTCTCCCTATTTATTTCAGAACCCCCTTCCCCTCCCCCATTTCTGAAGAAGGGTCTCGGCCTGAAACGTCAGCTTTCCTGCTCCTCTGATGCTGCTTGGCCTGCTGTATTCATCCAGCTCTTGTTATCTCAGATTCTCCAGCATCTGCAGTTCCTACTATCTCTGAAACAACTTTAACTTCATGGACTGGTACTCCTGTCCCAGTGATAAGTGCATCCTGCTCACCTGCTTTTTACCTGTTTTTGGTGGATTTTCTTGGCTCGAGAAGCATTTGGTCTACCTGCAACCCCATACTGAAGACTTTCTCTCATTGTGACATAGTTTATTGGGCTTTCAATACCTACAAATGTGGCTAATAATTGCACTGGCCTATTGTCTGGCACTTAATACATAACTGCACGTTTCCCAGCAGCATCATCAACTGCCTCTTTGACTAATATTCTTCTTCTCCAGTCCTCTCACCCTTACTTTACAATCTTTTGCTGTTTTGATATTTTTATACTGAACTCTTGATGTGCAGTTCTTTTTAAAGTATCAACCAGTCTCAGTAAATTATGCAATTAGAGCCGGACCCCACAGAATCACTGCAAATGTTTCATTGCTAAATCACAATGCTGGTTGATTCGAATTTTTATTTTCCATAACAACAAAATGGAATTGCAGCCAATTATTGGGTATATGTACAATACATACAATTACATGGTGCATCAGCTATATGTACAGAGCAGATACAGTATAACACTTGATACATTATATATAATACATACAGTTACTTTGTAACACATTGTACATGAGATGATATAAAATCTTCTGATGTTGTGGTGCCCATCAAATAGCACTGCTTATTTCCAAATTGAATGTACTTATCTCTCTCCGACACTTCTTTCAACATGTGAATCCTTGATGACAGAAGACGTCTCTGAAGTGGAGAAGCAGTGCTTAGTAGACAGAGAACAGCAACACAAATGTGAGATGTGGATATAATAGATGTCTGGGAGTAATTTAGAAACTCCCAGGGTTTTTCAGTCCCACGGTGCTCATGACATTATTAAAGTGCTTAATGTCTCATGCTTATAATATTGTAGCTTTTCAGACAGATTGAAATATAATCACTTCACTTTAGGAAATTAATAATCCGCTTATTATATGTGATTATTACTCAATAGCCTCTTACGCATCTGGATGAGTAAAGATATTTTCAGCACTATTTACGCAATTCCCTTAAATGCCTACAGGGTTTCAAGCAGTGTCAGGTGAGCTAATGATGGCTAATTATACAGTATATTTTCGATAGTAACTGTACATGGTGTTTGGATGCAATATCTGCCCTGATGACCACTGCAAGAGAATTTGCTTTGTACTATAATGATGACTTTAAACTACATACAGGAGCTTACAAAGTCCAAAGAGACATTGGTACCGATTTTAATACAGTTACTCCGTATTTCGTAAATGTGTGAACAGCGCCGGGAAAAAAAAAAGCAGGCATTAATTTTTTTTCTGAAGAGGGGTCTAGGCCCAAAACGTCAGCTTTCCTGCTCCTCTAATGCTGCTTGGCCTGCTGTGATCATCCAGCTCTACACCTTGTTATCTCAGATTCTCCAGCATCTGCAGTTCCTACTATCTCTGAGGCATTAATGTTGCGCAGCTTTCCTGTCACCAACAGCCATTCCTAGAAAACAGTCTTTTGACCTAGTATTTTGAAAGTGATATTTGACATAATTGTGTACAAGAAGTTTGTTTGATCATTGAAATAACGCTATATTACAAAAATGAAGAGAAATGCATTCCCAAGGTTGTACGACAAAATGAGCCTATTGCACTGTCAAAAGGCCCTATTCCTGCAGGTTGGATTCTGCTGGCCTGCCAGGTGTCAACCGTCCTTCAACTGTTTAAAGTGGGATTTGATCTTGGAGATGGTGGAACTTGTTGTATGTGTAGAGATTGAGTAAACTTGAATCTGTATTCTCCAGAGTTTTGATGAGTGAGAGCTGATCTAATTGATATTTTCGCAGTTCTTACAGGGTGTGACAGAGTGGATGTAGATATGGGGTGTTTCCCCTGGCCGGTGAGCCTATAAACAAGGAGCACAGTCTCAGAATAAGGATTAGGTCATTTAAGACAGAGATGAGGAGGAATTTCTTCACAGAGGCTGGTAAATCTTTGGAATTACAGCCCCTAGAGGTCGTAGAAACTTAATCAATGAGCATGATAGTGACATCAGTGTATATGGGGATATCAAGGGAAAGTGTTGTTGAAGTTCATTTAGCTATTATCAAATTGAATGGCAGCCATGTTTGAATGGCCTATTCCTGCTCCAATGTTCTAATAATCAATATGGTACCTGAAAATCTCATATAGAGCGTGGCTTCAGTGTTAAGATGACTGTTGAGTGCTGAATATTTCACATCGTCTGTCACAACAATTTTCAATTTTTCTTTTTGTTCTGGATATTCTACATTGGATCTGTGACAAATTGCTTCAAAGAATTAATGGAGGTGCATTCGACTTTCTCACACCCACTGCCTGTTATAATCCATTTTCGATTGTATCCTGAGAAGCGAACCTTAGCTTTAATTTGTTCATAGGTCTTTTGTTTTCGGTGTTATTTTTAATTTCATCCTCTCCCTTTTGATTTATATCTGTTTCATTCGAACTCTGTAAGTCTTCTGGCTCTTCTTCATTAATCCATTCTGTCCTGTGAGGTTGCTGAGGAGTGACAGACATGGACTTGGGCAGCTTTGGAGATTGGTTTTCTGCATTGTTTTTGGCGCCTCCATATCCTCCAACTGCACAAAAGAAATACAAAAGACACCCTAATATCTTCGCACAACAGAATTCCCACAGAAATCTTCCATTGCAATTGCCAAGTGTAGTTAGTTATCAGGTAGATGAAAGTCCCAATAATAAATGTTTCAATGGTATAGCCAATGTCATAGAAGTGGATCATTGTCTGAGAGGTATCCCTTGGGCTCATAAAATTCCTCTCTCAGAATGTGTAGGGAGAGCGCTGAGAAGCTAGAAAGTCTACCTACTCCACCAAATAGAAAAGGATGTCAGACATGGATATTGGAACAAGGATATTCCTTGTCAAAAAAAGGTCAAAAAAAAAGACACTGGGACATTGTCACCCTTACTAAGTCCTGTCATGCTGGTAAAGTGCATCAGGAGGGGCACAAGAGAAAGCTCTGTTTCCCCTGCTGGATTTTAGACAGCAAGTTACCAGAAAAAACAAAGACCTGGATATTTATTACAGCTAGTTATGTGGGACAGTGGGGGGAGGCAGAATTCCAGATGACAAGCTGCTGAGGCCACCTCATTGAATGTTTTTAAGGCAAAGATAGATAGATATTTGAATTGTAAAGGAATTTAGGATTATGGTGGGTGAGCAGAGCTGAGTGCACGAGAAGATCAGCCATGATCTTATTGAATGGCTCAGCAGGCTCGAGGGGCCACATGTCTTACTCTTGCTCCTATTTCTTGTGTTCTTATGTGTCTGGGTTTTCCTGAATGCTCGATGGTTTTAACTGTATAGCATGTGCTTTCTCTCTGTTACAGGATCACCATGTAGACATCAGCCTACTTGAAAAGCTGCATTATTAGTTGGACAGGGAACATTCCAGAACAAGTCATGGGGAAGACCTGGGCGGGGGGGGGGGGAGCAGTGGGGGTTTGGCAGGTTGGGGCTTTGACCTTGGAGGCACAACCCATCCCACTTTGTGTGGGTTTTGAAGTGGGGTGGTGGGTGTGACCAAACCCATTAACCTACTGTGCGTTTGAATATGGGGCATCTAATCATCGATTTAATGGCTGTCTACTCTTAGAAACAATGACATTTTACATAGAGTCATACAGCACAGAGATAGGCCCTTCGGCCCAAAGGGGTCCATGCCGACTAAAATGTCGATTCACACTAACCCCATTTCCCTGAATTTGGCCTTTGTCCTTCTAAACATTTCCTATCCATGTATTTATCCAAATGCCTTTGAAACATTGTTGATGTACCTGCCTCAAGCACTTCCACTGGTAGCTCATTCCAAATGCGTACCATCCTCTGTGTAAGAAAGTTGTCCCTCAGATTCCCATGTACTCTTTCCCCTCTTACCTTAAACTGATGCCCTCTCGTCCCTGATACCCCAACCCTCAGAAAAACAATGAGTGCATTCACCCTATCCATGCTTCTCATGATCTTATACACTTCCATAAGATCCCTACTCAGTCTCCTACACTCTAAAGAAGAAAGTCCCAGCTTGTCAAACTCTTCCGATACCTCAGTCCTTTGAGTCCTGGCAACATCTTTGTAAATTTCTCCTGCACTCTGTCCAGTTTAATAACATCCTTCCTATAGGAAGGTGACCAAATCTGAACACAACACTCCGAGTGTGGCCTCACCAACGTCCTATACAACTGCAACATAACTTCCCAACTTCTATACTCAATGCCCTGACTGATGAACGCTAGTGTGCCAAAAGTCTTCTTCACTGCCCTGACTTCCTGTGACTCCACTTTCAGAGAACCGTGCACCTGAACTCCAAGGTTCCGCTGTTCTACTGCACCCCTTTAAGGCCCTACCATTCACTGTGAAACTCCTACCTTGATTTGACTTTCCAAAATGCAACACCTCACACTTATCTTTCTTAAACTCCATTCGCCATTTTTCGGTCACTTCCCCTGCTGATCAAGATCCTGCTGCAATTTCTGATAACCATCATCACTGTCCACGATATCACCTATTTTAGTGTCATCCACAAACTTACTTACAATGCCTTGTACATTTTCATCTGAATCATTGATATAGATAACAAACAGCAATGGGCCCAGCACCAACCCGAGGCACACCACTAGTCACAGGCCTCCAGTCCGACAAACATCCTTCCACTATTACTCTCTGCTTCCTACCATCAAGCCAATTGTGTACTCAATTTGCCAGCTTTCCCTGGATTCCATGCAATCTGACCTTCCAGAGCAGCCTACCATGCAGAACCTTATTAAAAGCCTTACTGAAATCTACATGGACTATGTCTACCACCCTGCCCTCATCAACCTTCCTGGTCACTTCATCAAAGAACTCTGACAAATTTGTGAGGCATGATCTCTCACGCACAAAGGCACGCTGACTACTCCTAATTAAACCTTGTCTTTCCAAATGCATGTATATCTCATCCCTCAGAATCTTCTCAAGTAACTTACCTACCACAGATGTTAGGCTTACTGATCTATACTTCCCAGGTTTTTCTTAGCAGCCCTTCTTGAATAAGGGTACAACATTCGCTACCCTCCAGTCTTCTGTGACCTCAGCCGTGGCTAATGTGGCTAACATGGGGAGGGGTTGTGCTGGGTGGTGGTGTGCTGAAGGTGCGAATGGGCTGTCTGATGATGGCAACATGGTGTGGAGGGGGGGTGTGGGAGATGTAGGTGAAGTTTGAGGCAGGAGGAAGCATACTTTCTGGTCCACAGGAAGTGCTGAAAAGCAATTCCCCCTTCCCCAGAGCTCTCCTCACTACCCTTCAAACTGTCAGCTTTCTTCGAGTCTGGAAAGCGTATGAAATGAGAAATTTCTACGCTCTTTAACATACTTAACACGTCAGTCGTGACAAAAGAGAGGGTTTGCTGCCAGCCCTCAATGAGGTCAGAGACTTTCACCATTTCATCTCTTCTCTATATCCAGTGCCACACACTCATCCACATTCACATCCTCAATGCTGAGAGACTCATGGGAAAAATTAGACCCAGCTCCAGATTTGGTACAGACATAGCTGAGTCTTGTTGAATTGACCTACTCGTAGGATTGTTGCTATGGCAACAGGATTTGGTATCATTCATATTTGGGAATTACTGCCTGCAATAATAAGGTCACTGGAAAAATGGAGTGTTGTAGAAGGCTTTGAAAAGTGCATTCCTTCTCTTAGTTTTGGGTGTTTAGTGTAGTTTTGTGTAGCTGTTCATTTCCATGTTAGGGTTAGGGTTCGATAGGGTTAGGGTTAGATATGATAGGATTAGGGTTAAGTTTAGGGTTAGACATGAATCAGGGTTAGGGTTAGACATGAATCATCCTGTCATATAGGATGGAGTTTAATCCATCATGCATTTGCCATCTCTTTGAAAGGACTATCACAGGAAGCGGCAGCTCTTTCTACTTAATTTTGCCAGTGTAGGTACAATGTCTCTGTACACAGTGAAGTGAGGTGTAGGCTAATTGGTTATTGAATATAGTCATGATAGAGATCAATAGGTTTTTGTGCACCAAGGTAATTAAACGATTTGATGACACTGTTGTGATATTGAACTCGGAATCAAAGTGGAAGATCAGCCATGGTTGCACTGAATGTTGGAGCAGACTTCAAAGTCCACAGAGACCGCTCCTGTTCCAATATCTTATGTTCTTATTTGTAGCCTATGTAACTATGTGTGTAGTGCACTGTTACACGTGGGGTGTGAACCTCTGTACAGGTTGTGTGCTTACAGATAAGTTCTTTAGTTCTTTGGTCCAGTGTCTGATGTTCCTGGAACTGAACTAGCTACCAGAAGTTCAAATTGCAACAGGGCAAGTTATGAAAATGAATTCAATTACTCTTCGGTCAGGAAAATTGATAATGCATGCTGTCAAACTGTCATTAAAATCTGACCAGTTTATGAATATTCATCAAGGGAGGAAATCCTTGAGCTCTGTGCATTTTTAGTGTCACCGTTGACTCGTAATGAAGGACTGTCAGGAATGTGGATTTGAGGTCACAATCAGATCAACCATGATCTTACTGAATGGTGGAACAGGCTCAAGGGGCTGAATGGTCTACTATTAGTATGTTTGTACAATATTTTCTAAATTGCCAATCAGACCATCAGCCAGATAAAGGATGATTATGTCAGATATATCAGCTAATATCTTAGACTCCTCTATCACCTCTGAAAGCCTTCAACATTGACTCCAAGCCTCTGATCATACCAAAGGCAATATCTCACTGCTCTACTTTCCCCTGACAAGGCACCACTTTAAGGAAGCACTGAAACAAACATGCTCTGTAGCTGGATGAATAAAGAACATTTCATTTCTCCTGGTTAAGGGCAATCTGCTTGAACAGTGAAGAGGAAGCAAGAATAAAGCTGTATGCTGATTAAGTTTTACTTATTCATAAGATGCGGGCATCACTGGAAGTGCTAACATTTATTGCCCATCCCTGACTGCCCAGAGGACAGTTAAGAGTCAGCCTCATTGCTGTGGGTCTGGAGTTCCATGTCAGGCCAGATCATGTAAGGATGGTAGATTTCCCTCCCTGATGGTCAATAGGAAACCACATACTTTTTTAAACTGGTTTTCTGATGCCTGGACTTCTGTTGTTTTTGTAGCAGGTTCATATCGCAGAAAATCAGCACTGTTTCAAAATATGGACAAGAACCATATACATTTTAAAGTTTTGGAAAAGATTTGTAGCTCGGGTCGTGGATGAGGTTGTAGACATGCTCGACGAGCCGGTGGGTTTGGTTGCAAACGTTTCGTCACTAACATCATCAGTGCGCCTCCGGTTTCTGTCCTGCTTGTTATTTATATGCCTTGGTTTGCTGGGGTGGTTGGTTTTACTTCTGGTTTGTATACAGGGTGTAATTCAGTTTGTTTGTTGATGGAGTTCTGGTTGGAATGCCAGGCCTCCAGGAATTCCCTGGCGTGTCTCTGTTTGTCTTGTGCGATTATCGACATGTTGTCCCAGTTGAATTCGTATCCCTCGTAGCCCGTGTGTAGTGAGACAAGCGCCACTAAGAGACACGACCAATTCTCACTTGTCTCACTACACAC